GCTACTACCCCCCTCGTAGCTACTTCCCCCTCGAAGCTACTACCCCCCTCGTAGCTACTACCCCCTCGTAGCTACTTCCTCCTCGAAGCTACTACCCCCTCGTAGTTACTTCCCCCTCGTAGCTACTACCCCCCCTCGTAGCTACTTCCCCCCCCTTGTAGCTACTTCCCCCTCGAAGCTACAACCCCCTCGTAGCTACTTCCCCCTCGAAGCTACTACCCCCATCGTAGCTACTACCCCCTCGTAGCTACTACCCCCTCGTAGCTACTTCCCCCTCGAAGTTACTACCCCCTCGTAGCTACTTCCCCCTCGAAGCTACTACCCCCTCGTAGCTACTTCCCCCTCGAAGCTACTACCCCCCTCGTAGCTACTACCCCCTCGTAGCTACTTCCCCCTCGAAGCTACTACCCCGTCGTAGCTACATCCCCCTCGTAGCTACTTACCCCTCGAAGCTACTACCCCCTCGTAGCTACTTCCCCCTCGAAGCTACTACCCCCTCGTAGCTACTTCCCCCTCGAAGCTACTACCCCCTCGTAGCTACTTCCCCCTCGAAGCTACTACCCCCCTCGTAGCTACTTCCCCCTCGAAGCTACTACCCCCCTCGTAGCTACTTCCCGCTCGAAGCTACTACCCCCTCGTAGCTACTTCCTCCTCGAAGCTACTACCCCCTCGTAGTTACTTCCCCCTCGAAGCTACTACCCCTTCCTCGAAGCTACTACCCCCTCGTAGCTACTTCCTCCTCGAAGCTACTACCCCCTCGTAGCTACTTCCTCCTCGAAGCTACTACCCCTCGTAGCTACTCCCCGCTCGTAACTACTACTCCCCCCTCGTAGCTACTCCCCCCTCGTAGCTACTCCCCCCTCGTAGCTACTTCCCCCTCGAAGCTACTACCTCCTCGAAGCTACTACCCCCTCGTAGCTACTCCTCGCTCGTAACTACTCCCCCCCCCCCCCCTCGTAGCTACTTCCCCCTCGAAGCTACTCCCCCCTCGTAGCTACTCCCCCCCTCGTAGCTACTCCCCGCTCGTAACTACTCCCCCCCTCGTAGCTACTCCCTCCCTCGTAGCGACGCAAGAGGCCTCGCGTCAGGCGGGAGAGAACGAATTAAGGGTCAAACGAACTGTGAAGAGCCTGTCGAGCCGCGGGGTGACAAAGGTCGAGAGAGGGAAGAAAGGGGAATGAAAGAATAGGAGGGGGGAAGAAAAGTGGCGGAGGGAATGTGAAGAGCGGCGGGGTATGGGGAAGGGTGAAGGAAATGGGAGAGAAATGGGAACGCAGAGAGAAGGGAAGGGAAATGTCTGATGGACAGTGTTCAGAATATGAGAGTTTCCCCCCTGTCTCGCACGACCAAGTCACCATGACGGGGTGGTAGCTAAATGGACAGAGAGACAGGTATTCTGACTGGCTAACAGGTAAACTATCAGATAGTGAGATAAACAGCGAGGCTGTCAGGTAAACTCTTGTTTACCTGTAAACTGTTGGCATGGAGTTGAGTCTGCTGGCTTGCAGTTGAGTCTGCTGGCATGCAGTTGTGTCTGCTGACATGCAGTTGTGTCTGCTGACATGCAGTTGAGTCTGCTGGTATGCAGTTGATCTGCAGGCATGCAGTTGATCTGCAGGCATGCAGTTGATCTGCTGGCTTGCAGTTGTGTCTGCTGCCATGTAGTTGAGTCTGCTGGTATGCAGTTGAGTCTGCTGTCATGCAGTTGAGTCTGCTGGCATGTAGTTGATCTGCTGGCATGTAGTTGATCTGCAGGCATGCAGATGAGTCTGCTGTCATGCAGTTGATCTGCAGGCATGCAGTGGAGTCTGCTGTCATGCAGTTGATCTGCAGGCATGCAGTGGAGTCTGCTGTCATGCAGTTGATCTGCAGGCATGCAGTGGAGTCTGCTGTCATGCAGTTGATCTGCTGGCATGCAGTTGAGTCTGCTGGCATGCAGTTGAGTCTGCTGTCATGCAGTTGAGTCCGCTGGCATGCAGTTGAGTCTGCTGGCATTTAGTTGATCTGCTGGCATGCAGTTGATCTGCAGGCATGTAGTTGAGTCTACTGGCATGCAGTTGATCTGCTGGCATGCAGTTGAGTCTGCTGGCATGCAGTTGATCTGCTGGCATGCAGTTGAATCAGTTGACATGCAGTTGAGTCTGATGGCATGCAGTTGAGTCTGCTGGCATGCAGTTGATCTGCTGGCATGCAGTTGAATCAGTTGACATGCAGTTGAGTCTGATGGCATGTAGTTACCTGGTTGATGGGGTTCTGGGAGTTCTTCTACTCCCCAAGCCCGGCCCGAGGCCAGACTTGACTTGTGAGAGTTTGGTCCACTAGACTGTTGCTTGGAGCGGCCCGCAGGACCACATACCCACCACAGCCCGGTTGGTCCGGTACTCCTTAGAGGAAACAATCTAGTTTCCTCTTGAAGATGTCCACGGTTGTTCTGGCAATATTTCTTATGCTCGCTGGGAGGACGTTGAACAACCGTGGACCTCTGATGTTTATAGAGTGTTCTCTGACTGTGCCTATGGCACCCCCTGCTCTTCACTGATTCTATTCTGTATTTTCTTCCATATCGTTCACTCCAGTACGTTGTTATTTTACTGTGTAGATTTGGTACTTGGCCCTTCAATATCTTCCACGTGTATATTATTTGATATCTCTCTCGTCTTCTTTCTAGTGAGTACATTAGGATGGCTTTGAGACGATCCCAATAATTAAGGTGCTTTATCGCGTCTATGCGTGCTGTATATGTTCTCTGTATTCCCTCTTTTTCAGCAATCTCTCCTGCTCTGAAGGGGAAGTGAGTACTAAGCAGTACTCAAGACGCGACAACACAAGTGACTTGAAGAGTACAACCATTGTGATGGGATCCCTGGATTTGAAAGTTCTCGTAATCCATCCGATCATTTTTCTGGCTAACGCAATATTTGCTTCGTTATGCTCCCTAAACGTTAGGTCGTCAGACATTATTATTCCCATTATTTAAGTCCTTTAAATGCTTTTTTCCTACTATGGGCACATTTGATTGTGTTCTGTACCTTGTATTATTTTTAAGGCCCTCATTTTTACCGTACCTGAGTACCTAGAATTTATCACTGTTAAACATCATATTATTTTTTGATGCCCAGTCGAAAACTTTATTAGTATCAGCTTGAAGTTTTTCAATGACTTCAGTCGAGGTAATTTTCATACGGATTTTTGTCATCTGCAAAGGATGATACGAAACTGTAACTTGTATTTTTGTCTATATCTGATTTGAGAATAAGGAAAAGCAGCGGTGCAAGGAATGTACCCTGAGATACAGAGCTTTTAACTGCGCTTGGACTAGATTTTATATGGTTGACTGTTATTCGCTGAGTCCTGTTTGACAGAAAACTGAGTATCCAGCGTCCTACTTAACCGGTTATTCCCATTGACTTCATTTTGTGTGCTATCACGCCATGGTCACATTAATCAAAAGCCTTTGCCTTTTGACCACTCTTTATGTAGCGTTCTGTGCCTTTCATGTGAAAGTATGGGCAGCTGAGGTCATAGCATTTATTGTCCTCCAGTGAGGTTTGGCACATGTCAGGATGGAAAACCTACATATTGATCCAAATCGACACTCACCTTTCCTAAGCATATTTAAAAAAATTTTGGGATGTTGGTAACTGTATTCTAATTCTTTCTTATTACCAGCATATCTATGTCTGCATATCCCCTTGGCATAAAGTTTCCATAAGTCTGTCCTTCTAGTCTGACTCGCTTTATCGGGAACCGTTGTAGTGTCTGTAGCTATCGAGCTGTCAGTGCTGTCTGGTACACTTTCTAGTTTACTGCCGTCTGCATCCGGGCATACTGAGTCAGAGTTTACAACTTCCTGAGTTTCTGCTTCAGTTTCATCCCTGACTATAGCCTCCGCCCCTGGTATATTAGAATTATTGGTGTTCCTTTCCCACTCATTCTGAATGGCTGGCAGGCTTTCAATGAACGATGTTTTCCGTTCATGCGTCATGTTATCTAAAACGTTTTTAAGGATATTCCAAGCTGGCAGGTCATTTTTACACACCCAGAGCAAGTGGCCAGCTCTCAGTGCCGTGGTGTTACTCACTCCTGTACAAGCCGAATGAAATCTATTCTTACAGATATAACATTCAACTCCCGTTGCCTTCCACTTTAAGCTGTTGTTACAATGCCGCAAATTTGTTTGTTTACTCCCATTTTGCCTTGTTATGTTGTAAATATCTATATATTTATAATATATGTATACCGTATATTTTAATAATATATATGTTTATTTGTTCTACTGTATGGTCAGTACTTATCTTAGGGTGGAGGGTGAGGGTCCCAGAGGCTGTACAGTTGACACGGTGATGTCCCAGGCCGCGGCTGGAGGCCCTCAGTTGCCAGTCACTTGAGTTATAACACTGATATATTAATTTACCTGTATTACCATAAGGGATTTTGGGCTATATTTCCGACTTGCAATATTATTAACTTTCTCTCTTACTAATTTCTCGATCCACATTCCCCCTATTACACTTGTTGGAAACACATTTTGAGCCTGTTGGCATGCAGGTAAGCCTGTTGGCATGCAGGTAAACCTGTTGGCATGCAGGTAAGCCTGTTGGCATGCAGGTAAGCCTGTTGGCATGCAGGTAAGCCTGTTGGCATGCAGGTAAGCCTGTTGGCATGCAATAGAATATGTTAGTATGTAATTGAGTCTGCTGGCATCCAATTGAGTCTGCTGGCATCCAATTGAGTCTGCTGGCATACAGTTGAGTCGTCTGGCATGCGGTTGAGCCTGTTGGCATGCAATAGAGTATGTAAACATGCAGTTGAGTTTGCTGGCATGCAATTGAGTCTGCTGGGATACAATTGTGTCTACTGGCATGCAGTTGAGTCTGCTGGTATAAAGTTTAGTCTGCTGGCAGGCAATTGAGTCTGCTTGCATGCAGTTGAATCTGCTGGCATCCATTTGAGTCTGTTGGCATGCAGTTCAGTCTACTGGCATGCAGTTCAGTCTGCTGTCATGCATTTGAGTATGTTGAATTGCAGTTGAGTATGTTGGCATTCAGTTGAGTCTGCTGGCATTCAGTTGAGTCAGCTGGCATGCAGTTGACTCTGCTGGCCTGCAGTTGAGTCTGCTGGCATGCAGTTGAGTCTGCTGGCATGTAGTTGAGTCTGCTGGCATGTAGTTGAGTCTGCTGGCCTGCAGTTGACTCTGCTGGCCTGCAATTGAGTCTGCTGGCATGCAGTTGAGTCTGTTGGCATGCAGTTGAGTCTGCTGGCATGCAGTTGAGTCTGCTGGCATGCAGTTGAGTCTGCTGGCATGCAGTTGAGTCTGCTGGCATGCAGTTGAGTCTGCTGGCATGCAGTTGAGTCTGCTGGCATGCAGTTGAGTCTGCTGGCATGCAGTTGAGTCTGCTGGCATGCAGTTGAGTCTGCTGGCATGCAGTTGAGTCTGCTGGCATGCAGTTGAGTCTGCTGGCATGCAGTTGAGTCTGCTGGCATGCAGTTGAGTCTGCTGGCATGCAGTTGAGTCTGCTGGCATGCAGTTGAGTCTGCTGGCATGCAGTTGAGTCTGCTGGCATGCAGTTGAGTCTGCTGGCATGCAGTTGAGTCTGCTGGCATGCAGTTGAGTCTGCTGGCATGCAGTTGAGTCTGCTGGCATGCAGTTGAGTCAGCTGGCATGCAGTTGAGTCTGCTGGCATGCAGTTGAGTCTGCTGGCATGCAGTTGAGTCTGCTGGCATGCAATTGAGTGTTCTGGCATGCAGTTGAGTCTGCTGGCGTGCAATTGAGTCTCCTGCGTGCAATTCAGTCTGCTGGCGTGCAGTTCAGTCTGCTGGCGTGCAGTTCAGTCTGCTGGCGGGCAGTTCAGTCTGCTGGCGTGCAGTTGAGTCTGCTGGCCTGCAGTTGAGTCTGCTGGCATGCAATTGACTCTGATGGCATGTAGCTGATTCTGCTGGCGTGCAGTTGAGTCTGCTGGCATGCAGTTGAGTCTGCTGGCATGTAGTTGAGTCTGCTGGCATGCAGTGGAGTCTGCTGTCATGCAGTTGAGTCTGCTGTCATGCAGTTGAGTCTGATGTCATGCAGTTGAGCCTGCTGCCATGCAGTTGAGTCTGCTGCCATGCAGTTGAGTCTGCTGCCATGCAGTTGAGTCTGCTGGCATGTAGTTGAGTCTGCTGGCATGCAGTTGAGTCTGCTGGCATGCAATTGAGTCTGCTGGCATGCAATTGAGTCTGCTGGCATGCAATTGAGTCTGCGGGCATGCAGTTGAGTCTGCTGGCGTGCAATTGAGTCTGCTGGCGTGCAGTTCAGTCTGCTGGCGTGCAGTTCAGTCTGCTGGCGTGCAGTTCAGTCTGCTGGCGTGCAGTTGAGTCTGCTGGCCTGCAGTTGAGTCTGCTGGCATGCAATTGACTCTGATGGCATGTAGCTGATTCTGCTGGCGTGCAGTTGAGTCTGCTGGCATGCAGTTGAGTCTGCTGGCATGTAGTTGAGTCTGCTGGCATGCAGTGGAGTCTGCTGTCATGCAGTTGAGTCTGCTGTCATGCAGTTGAGTCTGATGTCATGCAGTTGAGCCTGCTGCCATGCAGTTGAGTCTGCTGCCATGCAGTTGAGTCTGCTGCCATGCAGTTGAGTCTGCTGGCATGTAGTTGAGTCTGCTGGCATGCAGTTGAGTCTGCTGGCATGCAATTGAGTCTGCTGGCATGCAATTGAGTCTGCTGGCATGCAATTGAGTCTGCGGGCATGCAGTTGAGTCTGCTGGCGTGCAATTGAGTCTGCTGGCGTGCAGTTCAGTCTGCTGGCGTGCAGTTCAGTCTGCTGGCGTGCAGTTCAGTCTGCTGGCATGCAGTTAAGTCTGCTGGCATGCAATTGAGCATGTTAGCATGCACTTGACTCTGCTGGCATGTAGTTGACTCTGCTGGCATGCACTTGATTCTGCTGGCATGCAGTTGAGTCTGCTGCCATGCAGTTGAGTCTGCTGGCATGTAGTTGAGTCTGCTGGCATGTAGTTGACTCTGTTGGCTTGCAGGTGAGTCTGCTGGCATGCAGTTGAGTCTGCTGGCATGCAGTTGAGTCTGCTGGCCTGCGCTTGACTCTGCTGGCATGTAGTTGTGTCTGCTGGCTTGCAGTTGAGTCTGCTGGCATGCAGTTGAGTCTGCTGGCATGCAGTTGAGTCTGCTGTCATGCAATTGAGTCTGCGGGCATGCAATTGAGCATGTTGGCATGCATTTGAGTCTGCTGGCATGCAATTGAGTATGTTAGCATGCAATTGAGTATCTTAGCATGCAATTGAGTCTGCTGGCATGCAGTTGAGTCTTCTGGCATGCATTTGAGTATGCTGGCCTGCATTTGAGTCTGCAGGCATGCACTTGATTCTGCTGGCATGCAGTTCAGCCTGCTACGTCAGTTGAGTCTGTTAGCATGCAGTTGAGTCTGCTGGCATGCAATTGAGTATGTTGGCATGCAATATAGTTTGCTGGTATGCAGTTGAGTCTGCTGGCATTCAATTGAGTATGTTGGCATGCAATATAGTCTGCTGGTATTCAGTTGAGTTTGCTGGTATGCAGTTGAGTCTGCTGGCATTCAATTGAGTATGTTGGCATGCAATATAGTCTGCTGGCATTCAGTTGAGTCTGCTGGTATTTTGATTGTCAACAACAAAAAACAATGACACTGGAAATAGTGTGTAACAAATACATCTCTTGCAATATCGTGTGTTAAACCAGAGTTGTTAAACCCGGAGCAAATAAAGTCGCTTCATCTGAAACTTTTCTTCAACTTGGGGAGGACGAAGGAAATCTTTGATCTTTGAAGGACAAAAAATATGAAGAAAGTGAACAATGTTTTAGAACCGTTTGCTACTGAGAACGTCTGACGTTCTGTTTGACGTTCTGTTTGATGTTCTGTTTGACGTTCTTATTTATTCTTTCTTCTAAGATCTTCACCCCTTTCCTCCATGGCCCTCTCCCTCTCTCCCCTTACATCCTACCCCCCCTTTTCCACTACTCTGTATCACTTATCCACTCTCTACCCTTTTCCACCCCCCCTCCATCTTGATACTTACCTCCTTCTCCCCCTCTCCACATGCCCCCCCCTCTCCACATGCCCCCCTCTCCACATGCCCCCCTCTCCACATGCCCCCCCTCTCCACATGCCCCCCTCTCCACATGCCCCCCTCTCCACATGCCCCCCTCTCCACATGACCCCCTCTCCACATGCCCCCCCTGCCCCCCCTCTCCAGATCCCCCCCATTTCCAGATCCCCCCATCTCCACATGCCCCCCTCTCCACATGACCCCCTCTCCACATGCCCCCCTCTCCAGATCCCCCCCATTTCCAGATCCCCCCCATTTCCAGATCCCCCCCATCTCCACATGCCCCCCCTCTCCACATGCCTCCCTCTCCACATGCCCCCCTCTCTCCACATGCCCCCCTCTCCACATGCCTCCCTCTCCACATGTCCCCTCTCTCCACATGTCCCCTCTCTCCACATGCCCCCTCTCTCCACATGCCCCCTCTCTCCACATGCCCCCCCTCTCCACATGCCCCCCCTCTCCACATGCCCCCCCTCTCCACATGCCCCCATCTCCACATGCCCCCCTCTCTCCACATGCCCCCCCTCTCCAGATACCCCCCATCTCCACATGCCCCCTCCCCCCACACACACTCGCTTGAGGCATCCAAAAGTCTCTCAAGTTGGCGAATTCAAACATAACTCTTAGTCTCTCATCTTCTTATTGTCGGAAAATCCGACACCATTTAATATATCATACAGACAGATAATAATTGCTGCTGTATTACCAACAAGTTACCCATAGAAAACGTAACTTGTAGTGGAATTACCGTCTAAAGAAAACGGGATATCATCACCACATACTATTATAATTCACCAGCTATTCTGCTGGGAATTATTCTTAAATACATTAGTCTTTGGACTTTACCATCATAAAACATCTTATATAAATTAACTTAATTATCAATATTAAAGTAGAGTAAATGTGACCCTTCTATCACTTTCTGTCATCTGGACAATGTAAGCCAGGCGTCAGTGAGGGGAAGAAGGGGCAGCCATTGTTGTGTCACCTCCGAGACGTGTGGAGCAAATTCGGCTCCTATCATATCTGGACAATGTCGGCCAGTAGCGTCAATAGTATGGAGTGTTAGACAGCCATTGTTGTCACCTCCGAGACGTGTGGAGCAAATTTGGCTCCTATCATATCTGGACAATGTCGGCCAGTAGCGTCAATAGTATGGAGTGTTAGACATTATTGAGACCAGAGGCGCAGGGAGCAAATTCGGCTCCTGTTAATTTTACTTGGACGAAGTGTTATGGAAACCAAAGGTGTACCATTATCACACGCTGTCAACAAATTCAAGTTAAGTGTCTTTCCGAAACCCGTATATCTATCATTAGTGGCCATTAATGTCATTGGGTAGGGTGGTCCGGTTAGATCACGAAATCGCCTCATACTAAAGGTAATTAAGCCAGGTCTTCAATGTTCCATGTACAGTATTTTCTCTGATATAGCTTGTCATATATAGGTATCTGGCTTTACAGCTAGCGCCCTTTTAACAGGTCAAGACGAGGAAGCAAGGCTTTGTGCATCAGTTACTGGGTGATGGAAGCTACCTCAAAGAGGATAATTTGGTGTCTACACCCTAGTTATACCTGGTGGACTAACCTGCTGTACTATAAGATAAGGAACCTCTTCAATGTATGTAGTTATTACTGTAGTTTGATTGGCTGCATATATAAATTTAATAAACCCCCCTAATGTGTAGAGGATCGATTTGTGAGATTATGAGATTATTGCAGAAATACAGTCCACTTATCATTATACAAATTGCTATCGAAGTATATAAATTAACGTAAATATAAATTCATATAAATTAAATAAATATAAATCTCACAGGTCGGTTCCCACATTATTTGGTCATCTTCGAACCGGATGACGGATTATTTGATCCTTTGAACCCACATTTGGTCATCTTAGTACCGGATGAACCAGTTAACCAGTGGATTCATTAAATAACTAGTGCAGTGTGATTTAAACAAAGCCAGCAGTCAATGACGGCGGCGTTGACTCGTGCGAGTTCACGAGCCCCGCTCAGTTCAGATCAGCCTTAGTCAGCGGTTTCATGTACACCCACAGATTTGGTGGCGTGTTATTCTGTGAAATGACAGCGCTAATATAGAAGCCAGCCAAATTAGTGACTGTGTCGCGAGATTGTTCACGGATTTCGTGGTGTTACATTTCGCGAGAGATTATCTACGAATTTTGTGGAGTTTATTTCGCGAGGTCACTAATAATATTTAATACTTCTTGATAATATTAGAAGTTTCATAGAGGCTAATTAAGAGGCTATTATCAATAATTGTGTATATTATTTCTCTAAAATAGAGAATTATTTAATATATACTGCACTAGTGATCACAGTATAATATTTACTAATTGCCAACCCACAACAGGGTAGGATATTTACCATTGACTAGTTGAACTATTATTGCTCATCCTAGTCCCATTATTACCATAGTCAGTTGTACTATATTGAATAACCTAACACCATTAATGAATGGTCCAGACCCTATTTTGGGTGTAATTTTTATCAACTCGGGTTGAGTTGTATATATAATAATTTACTTATGATCATTACACCTTTGAGTGATTAATTAGTGTCTCTACCATCCTAGGGTGATATAGAAGAGCTAACCTAAAGGTACTTCCAGTGACACTGGTTTATCACTCAAATCATTAGTGTGTATGAT